AAGAGCACCTGGCCTAAAATTATTGTTTGATGAGAGATCACTACATGCTTTTTAACATATGCCTTAGGGTAAAAGATTGAAAAAATTTTTCCCATTCCCATCTCTGTACTTACATCTGTTAAAATTAGAATCGTAGCAATAAGTAAATTTTCAGCCATGTATGTACATGAACTATTTTAGAAAACAAAACTTCAGTCCTTATTAACAGATACATGGCCAACAACTTTTTTTTAATGTTCAATAATTATTTTATCAATGTGTCATTCTTTTTTTTTTTTTTTGAGTTGGAATCTCACTCTCTCGCCCAGGCTAGAGGGCAGTGGCCTGCGCATGGCCATCACAGCCTCGACCTGCTGGGCTCAGGCGAGCCTTCTACCTCAGCCTTCCAAGTAGCCATCACACCTGGCTAATTTTTCTTGATTTTATTGTAGAGATAAGGTCTTGCCAAGTTGCCCAGGTTGGTCTCAAACCCATGGGCTCAGGCAATCCTCTCACCTCAGCCTCCCAAAATGCTGGGATTATAGGCATGCACCACCGCTCCCGGTCTCAGTGTGTCATTCATTTTTACCAATTTTGTATTCATTGTAATAACTGGATCCAGACTATTTTAAAGTATTGATTCAAGTTTACAGACATTTTTGTCGCAAAGAAGTAAACAGGATGATCAATAATACATCAGGCATGAAAATGTTACACTAGAATAAAATTATGTGGGATGGAAATAGAGGTGTGGGGAGAAAACAAAATTTCTAGTTTAAATGCTCTTTTTATAATGAATGGATGATAGGTATCAAAATGCTATCAGATTATGTTGAATATATTTTTAAAAGACTGATATAACAGTTATTTTTAAATGTATTGGAAGTTATATCCTTTATAATTATTAAACTTATGATAAAAGCCTTTAATGTCAATTTATAAATGTGTAAAGTGATACCTACTTTTTAAAAATCTCTGGGAGTAGACAAGTAGAAAATTTGAGGACCATTGGTATATATTCTCAAAGGTCAGGACATTTTAGTGATCTAATCTGGTTTCACACCCATAATTTAGTTTGGTTATCAAACTAAATCTTCCCAGGAATTTTTTTTTTTTTTTTTTTTTTTCCGAGTTGAGTCTTACTCCTTCACCCAGGCTGGGGTGCAGTGGCATGCAGGTTCACGGCCACCACAACATCGACCTTCTGGGCTCCAGCAATCCTTCCACCTCAACCTTCCAAGTAGCCGAAACTACAGACACACGCTACCACACCCGGCTATTTTTTTATTTTATTGTAGAGCCAAAGTCTTGCCAAGTTCCCCGGGCTGGTCTCGAACTTGCAGGCTCCCAAAGTGCTGGGATTATAGGCTGAGCCACTGCGCCCGGCCCATCCCAGGAATTTTTAACTTGTCCAAATGTGTATGATTGATTTTAAAGCAGTAATCCTCCCTAGACATGTCATTTTAGTTCTCACTTCTAAAGCATAGTAAAATATTTCATGACAAAGATTTGAGTTACTCTGCATTAATTTTATACATCGGCTGGGTGCAGTGGCTCACATCTATAATTCCAGCACTTTGGGAGGCCAGCGCGAGTGGATTGCCTGAGCCTATGTATTCGAGACCAGCCAGGGCAACTTGGCAAGACCTCATCTCTACAATAAATCAAAAATTAGCCAGGCATGGTAGCGTGCCTCTGTAATTCTGGCTACTTGGGAAGCTGAGGTGGAAGGATCGCTGGAGCCCAGCAGGTTGATGCTAGGGTGGCCATGAGTGTGCCACTGCACTCCCGCCTGGGCGGCAGAGCAAGACTCCCAACTCAAAAAAAAAAATTATCTCTGGGAAAATTACAAACTTAAGAAACTATGGAGGAAAAGAAAGCAACAGGTTATTTTCCAGTTACCCAGACCACAGGCTTCAAAAAAATGACCTGACACTGCCTTCTATGAGCATTAAAGGTTTGGGTTCACCCGGGCTCAGTGGCTCAGCCTGGGCGACTGAGTGAGACCAACTTTAAAAAAAAAAAAAACTGTTAACAACCGAGTGCCAATTTCCCTTTGTTTTCTTTAACTGTGAGTACTATCAGGCTTTTGCTCTTTGCAATTTCAAAAGACAAAACATATGCTCTCAAAATCAGTCTGCTCAAGTGTCACCTTCTTAATGAGGGCCTCATGATTTCCCTATTAAAATACCACCCCCATCATCATTCTTTAATCCCCTTACATTATTTTATTTTTCTATAGCACTTACTACCTTCTACTGCCTTCTAGCATTCTATTGTTTCTCTCCCGACACTCTAGACTGTAAGCTTCAAGAGGGCAGAGGTTTTGCTTTTTTCTGTTTTGTTCACTGATGACCATTGCTTGCCACGTGGTAGGCAATCACAAATTTCTTGAATTAAATGGCCACGGCAGTTGTGTGATACATAGGCAGTTTAGTCAAACCTGTTAATGTTTGTCCTTTGACCCATCTTTCCCTGGTTTTATATACATCTCACCTAACCAATGAGAAAGTTCTCTTACAAGCAACCACAGCTCCTTAGAGTGCATTACACCAGATAAAACACCCATGTTTGACTATTAGCAGGCCATGTGGGAGTAGGAAATAAATAGTTGTATACTGCATAACATTTTAGTTAATGACAAACTGCAGATACTAGTTCCATAAGATTATAATGGAGCTGAAAAATTCCTGTTGCCTAGTGATGTCATAGTTGGTGTAATGTTCATGATGTTACCTTTTCTATGTTTAGATACACAAAACCATTGTTACAGTTGCCTACAGTATTTAGTACAGTAACATGCAATATAGATTTGTAGCCTGTGTGTAGTTGCCTATACCATCTAGGTTTGTGTAAGTATGCTCTGTTTGCACCACACCGAAATTGCCTAGTAAGATGCATTTCTCAGAATGTATCCCATGATTAAGGGACACATGACTGCACTCCTTCCTACTCTGGACTCCCAGGGTACTTGGTTATTAAGACAATATAGCCTAGCCAGTGCTGGCCATCCAACAACCACCTTGCTTATTTTAGCCCTTCCCTTCCTGTTTCTTTCCTGCCAATGCCTAAGGGGGCCTAGAACAAAACCAACCCTAGTAAAGCAGACATTCCATCCATGCAAGTGACTGGCACTGATCTTCCCCACACTATATGCAACCCACTCCCTACCAGTCCTTTGGCTCCACACCCTTTTCAGTAACAATGGCAGCTTAGTCAAACAGAGAACTGAGGTTTGGTAGAGCACCAAGTTTCATTGTTTTCCCCAGGCCAGATTTTGGATGTGAAAGAAGTATAGACTAAGAGAAAACAAAGGATAGTGATTGAACTCTAAGTAGCTGGAGTTGCTTACGCTATAAAACAGCTAAGATTTAAGAATGTGTTCACCATTTTAGTGATATATAATGTCATAGTTCCTATGTATTTCCTTCACAATTATCAACATGTCAGGTCTACCCACCCTTTCAGTAGTATATGTTAGATTTGCATCAAATAAGGGCATAATGAGTATTTTCATTGTGATGTCTTTAATGGAGAGGCTAAATGTATTTGATAGCTCTAATCAAGGCTAATTTGAGGGTCTGCAGTGTTACTAACCTTCAACCTAACCTGAGAAAAAAAAGGCAATGAGCACTAGTTAATATTAGGAGGCCTAAAAAGGGAAGAATGTGGTAGAAGCTGCACATTCTAAGGAAATCGCATATTTGCCTCCCTTTCTATTTAGTCATCAGTTGCTTTATTCTTGGTCCATCTTCTACCTTATCTTCTGATAGAGCAGCGTAGGAGTAAAGTTTGGTGACAAGCTTCTGGAAAGCAGATAGAGGTTTTTTAGGAACTTAGACATTCCGGGAAAAGAATTTGAACGAGAGAGGAAATGGTTTGGTGGATGGAGAGTAGGAAGCTTTTATTAGGAATGTCAAAAAAGTAGTGGAGTGGGAATAACAAAGACCAGAAGCAGCTTCACTTGATTATAATTAATTTGCAGTGGGTGGCAAAAGCAGGCACCAAGCCAGCATCACTACTTTATAAATAATAAATCATCTGTGGTGGTGATGTTGTGAAAGATGCATGGTAAGGTTGCATCAGTATGGTGAATCACTAAATGGGTGGGACTGTCTAGAGAAGCATCTGTTTGGAAAGAGATCCACAACTTAGTCCAGAACACCTTGAGCATATAGCAGTAATCCTGGATGTAACACTTGGAGCAAAAGTCAGTGGCCAAAAATGGCATGTGGGATGTTCACAACAAAATACTCAGATGAAAGTATGTGCTGGTCCTTGCCATGCTTCTCTATAAGCTCTGGCCCCTTCCCCAATCTGGAGGAGGTGAATCCTTTTTTTTATCTTTCTAAATAAACCATATTTTCCAATCTTAAAAAAAGTATATGCTTGTCCTTTAGCATATAGTATCAGAAGAAAATAAACTGAAAGCGTACCTTACTTCTGTTCGAGCCACTTTCACCTAGCATTGCTTCCTTACATATTGCAGCAGTGTAGCCAGTAACTGATCCTGAGGATGCTTTTTGTTATGGCAAAGGGATTAAAAGTAGCATCAGCTGCTAACTACTGAGAGAAAACGTTTACCTACTACTTTTTCTGCCTGCCTCACCCCACCTTTCAATGGTGGTTATGTCTTTTTATGTCGCCTGCCATTCAAGAAGGATGCCATCAGTGAACCATAACAGCTGCACATAAAATGCCTTTTCCCCAGTGGATGTTAATCATCTTTGCCTAAAAAACTGAAGCCTTATCGGTTTTTCACTAGCAGGGGACAAAAGAATACCCACCCACCCTGCCAAGTAACACACTGCTGATAAATAAAAGTTGACAAGATCTAAATGTTTATGCAGTCTCAACCTTGTTTCAATGAAAAGAATCACAGGAAACAAATGGGAATATTATGTAAGGATAGGGTAGCCATTTCTGTAAGATTTATGTTACTACTTAAACTATATAAATGTTTCAGGCAGTCTGTTTTGAGAATTTGTTCTTGAATAATAATAAATGATTTCTCATTGAAGGAAAATACCGTATGCAATAATTCAGATATGGCAGAAGTGAAATCAATGTTCCGGGAAGTTCTTCCAAAACAAGGTATATACATCACAAATGCTAAGATTATTGAATATTATAAGGACAGATAAAATGATAGGCAGTGTCACACAGCAAGCTTAATGGCTAAACATCTGTAGCTATTGTGTTCTATATGCCTCATTTACTGTCCACTTTTCTCCTGAGCAGATTGTAAAGGAGAGATTTGCACTTTTTTGTTTTTCCCGGTAAATGGACAACAAATGAAGTATTATTTCTTATACTTAGAAATCCTGTTATACCTAAGACTGCCAATTACAACATGAAATTCCAAGAAAAAACAATGGAATTTATAATATTAAGGTCTGAAGGTGGAGGAAAAAAGAAACGTAAATCAAGCAACAGTTAAGAATAGCTAAACACTCAATAACACTGTTAAATACCATACTTTGTTATATTTTGGGGCACTGTGCATTATCTCCCAAATCTTATTTAAAATCAAACATCTGACACAGAAGTTGTCTTACGGTAACCTTAGTCTTGAGAAGAAAGCTCAGAACTTGTCTTCCTCAAGAACACCCGAATATAAAGAAATGTTTATGATCCCACAGCAAAACTCAGTCTAGTACAAGAGTTTTTCATTGACAGTGGATTTACTTTTTAGACCTTAATTCTAGCTGCAAATCCAAACTATCAAACAACTGGGTTATCTTCCTTGAATTAATTCTTATTTCTTGTTAAACTTAGGGCAGTTGTCTGTGGAAGATGTAACCACAATGGTGCTGTGTAAACCCAAACTTTTACCCCTAAAATCTCTGACTCTGGAAAAATTGGAGAAAATGCATGAAGCAGCACAGGATACAATTCACCAACAAGAAGTAGCAGAAAAAGAACGACATATCACCCATTGAATGATAACTTAGCACTCTGGGGAGCAACTTACCTTATCTACTGTTTAACAATAACTAGAAAATAATGAGCTTCTGTATGCTGAAAGTAGTATTTGAAAATAAAACTGATAGCATTCATATTAATACAAACATACCCAAGATTGATGAAAATTGTATTTTGAATTTAAACACCTTTGTATGAACATAAGCAATTAAACTTTGAACCAAATTGATGAGATTTTATTCAATTCATGTATTTAGAACTGCAAATTAAGTTATCCTTCACCATTCCTGTTGCTATCAGTTTTATAGGTAACATTCTTAGGCTAAATGCAACTTTTATATAGAGATCTTTACATGTTTATTAAAAACCTGAATCTAAAAGTACATTCCAATCTTGCATTAAGTGTTTATGTTGGGCTTTTATCTAATTAAAAAAATAACCAATTTTGTGTGCTATGTCATGTTTAATGCTGTATTACCTGACCAACTGACCCTTACCAGTAATGACAAAACTGTCTTGAAATAAATTTTGAATTTTAAGAAACCATTACCTATTCTGTAGTCAGCTAAGCTTTTAATTACATCAACTTTAAGGACTTCAGAATTCTAAGACTACCTTTATCACCCAGGTATCAATTAAAAACCTAAAAATGGTCACTATAATTATCTATATAGCCCTAAGTAATATGGGCTTAAAAGAAGCCATGAGGTAAATATGAACATTAAACTTGGGAGTTTTAATTCTAAAAGACTGTACCTAAACCTATAATAGGTATACTTTTAATACCTTTGAAAATTCTGAATATAGTTCTTGGTTGGTTTGCGACAGTCAATAATAGGCACAGACCTATTAATTGAAATTAGCATAGATTCTGAGGCCTTGCTGAGTAACTGGGCTCTGTAAAAGAGGTTAGAAATGTGATTATTCTTTAGTTACCTGTTATTTATTGGTAGCTAGTATTTTCTCAGACACTGGATAAATGTAAAGCTTTGGGTCTTTGGAGAATATCTTTTTTTTTTTTTGAGTTGTAGTCTCACTCTGTCACCCAGACTGGAGTACAGTGGCCACTCCCGGCCACTGCAGCCTCAACCTGCTGGGCTCTGGCGATCCTTTCGCCTCAGCTTTCCAAGTAGCCAGAATTACAGGCACACGCTACCACGCCCAGCTGATTTTTTGATTTATTGTAGAGATGAGGTTTCCTCAAGTTGCCCAGGCGGGTCTAAGAATATCTTTTTATAACACTAACAACCATTATTTGGTAATAGCATTTAAGAATGGTGAAAGGTATTTTATATATATATATTTTTTTTTTTTTAATTTCGTTAAGTTCTACATCAGATCAGCAAACAGTGGAACAAAGTGTGCTTGTATTTTTCCCCAATATAATCTTAAAATACTGTCGTTATTACAATTTAAAAGTTTGCAAAGAAAAAAAAGTTTCGAAGAAAGCAGCTTAAATTCATTAGGTTCAAATATGCTTCCTTATATGATTTAAAATTTGCTGTATGCAATTTTAAAAAATGTTTAAAGACCTAAAATAAATGTACACCCAATAAAGAATCAACACTGCTTCACATGTTTTATTCTGTTGTACATTCTTCTAGAACCAAGTTCATTTTTCCAGTTTTGTAGAAAAATAGATGTTCCAGCCACCTTTTACTTAATTGTCAAGCCTTTTAAGACCAATCAATATACTCCCTGGAAAGATGAGTAAGTCTCATGACTAACTCATTTTTTTAAAAATTCTTTAGACAAAGAAATAACTTTTTTTTTTTTTTTAACTCCCAAAGCACAGTATTTCAACAGCAGCAGCCAACATGGGGTTTTAGCAGCTTAGCTTTACCCCCTAAATAAAGCTTTGTATAAACCAGTGATTTTACTACAAAAAACACTGTCCTTGAAAGAAAGGAGTGGCAGTCAGACATCAATGCAAAACTTGGAATGATTAGGTCATAAATGTGGCACTTACAAAAGGTAGCTTATTAGAATAATCCATTTAAGAAGAGGTTACTTTTCTGTCCCTCTTTGACTCCCTCAAAAAAAAAAAATTTCCTTTAAAAATTCCCCTTAAATGTAAGTTTATAAAATTTCAGAAATGCCTTGTACCCAAAACAAGTGCTTAAAAAAAAAAAACCTGTGCTAACAACTTTTACAATTCAGATATATATTTTTATGACATCTAAGTCTGCAAGAGTTATTTTCAGTAGCTCTCTGGTTTAAGACGACCTCCATCTCCTTCGCTTACAAAACGCTTTCTTCCCCTGTAATAAAAAAAATTTTAAAACATGAAAACAGATATAAATTCTGGTGATAATCAATGAAAAAAATTAAAACTTGGTATTTTTTGGTTACACATTGAGTTTTGAAGGGTTTCACTGTCATTTTTCTTTTAAAGTCAGTATGCCTCTCTTTTGAAGAAGACTCTTTCCCTGCTATACATTTTGGCATAAAACATCAAATCTAAGGTTTTATTTATAAAAAAGTTTAATTATTGAAATAAGTTCATTATCTAAATGAAGTCATGTTAAAAGAAGTTAAAATATAAAACTAAGGCAAATATTCTATTTAAAAATTTAACATTTATTCCTACATTACTATTATTTGAAAGCCAAACAGGAATTTTAAATTACATATACTAGAGCTATGGAACCTATTGTAGTATGTATATTTAACAATTTTAAAAAATTTTTATCAACTGTAGAAAAACCATAACTTGAAATGCAAAAATATAAATATAATTAATTCCAGTCTATGCCCTCATTTTCAGATTCCTGCTATTTCAGACTCAAGAAACCCTGCTCTATATGTAACCACATTGTAGCTACAAGTAGTAGCAACAGCCTAGGAAGACACTGGCCAGTAGCCTAAAGCAATGAGTGAGAAGTAGAGCTTGGGCAAGATTAGCCCTTACTTTCTGGTCCTAGACCAACATGCACAAGCATGTGAGACCACACACAAATGTGCACTTCAAACAAATAAACAAAAATAGGGCACAAATCAAAGCTGTATGGTATACATGAAAAGTTTGGGTATCTTTTCAAATGACCCTTGAAAGCAAAGCCACCATAGAAATAACCAGATAGAAGCTGAAAAACTTTTTAAAAAGCCAGTACCAGGATATCAACCCCTTTTACTTATTAAGGTAAAGTGGAAACCAGCTACATTTTCTAGAACATAAAGGCTTCAGACTACATACTATGAGACTAAGGTAGGGAATAAAGCAGTCAATAACAAGAAGCCCTGCCAAAGTTGAGAGTTTTTACTGATACACACCACTTGGCACAAGAGTATATAAATGCTGCCATCACCAAGCTGAGATCTACATTTCCAACATTTCTAGTAAAACCATTAAACTATCATCTTCTATCACTTTCTTTTCCTCTCAATAGCTTCTAAACTTTCTAGAGCAAAGGTCCCTACCAAGAATATTTTTTCTGAGATTTAATTCTCACAATGCATGTAAATAAAAATACTCAAAGCTTAAAAAAAAATTTTAGATAAAAAAATTACCAAAAAGTATATAAAACTGACCCACACAATCAAGAAGTTTAGCTATTACTAAACATTTATGTCTATTACATTATAAGCTTCATTATTAGCTTTAACAACAAATATCAATTCCTTAAGAGTTACATCCTAAGCATAAATATCAATACCTTCAAAGAAATAGCCTAGGTCTCTGAAGCCAGAAAAAGTCTGCCTCTACCACGTACAAGCTGTGCCTTAGAAAAGGCACATTATACCTTCCTAAGCCTCTATTTCCTCATCATATTAGTGTTAATACCTACTCAGTTATAGCACTGACACTGCTTATAACCAAGCCTGGTAAAAAGAACGACTTGGCAGGGTGCGGTGGCTCAAGCCTGTAGTCCCAGCACTTTGGGAGGCCAAGGTGAGAGGACTACCTGAGCCCACGGGTTCAAGAACAGCCTGGGCAACTTGGTGAGACCTCATCTCTACAATAAATCAAAAAATTAGCTGGGCGTTGTAGCATGCGCCTGCAGTTCCGACTACTTGGAAAGCTGATGTGGAAGGATCACTGGAGTCCAGCAGGTCGACTCTGGGATGGCTGTGAGCGTGCCACTGTACTCCAGCCTGGGCAATGGAGTGAGATACCAAGTAGAGAAAAAAAGGGGGGGAAAAAAACTGCTCCACAAAATTACCTACCTTCAAATAACTGAAACTTCATAAGGTAGTCCTGTATAGATTTACAAAGGGGAAAAACAAACTTTGCCCTTGTTTCTCCATAAACTCAAGACATAATTCTTGCTCTTCAGTGACTTCAGGGAAGATATTTCTCTGAAAGAGCTTGAATGGGGCTGGGCTCAGTGGCTCAGCCTGTAATCCCAGCACTTTGGAGGACGAAGTGAGTGGACTGCCTGAGTCCACGGGTTCGAGACCAGCCCAGGCAATTTGGCGGGACCTCTCTCTACAATAAATCAAAAACTTAGCCAAGCATGTTAGCACAAGCCTGTAGTTCCGGCTACTTGGAAGGCTGAGGCAGAAGGATCGCCAGAACCCAGAAGGTCTACGCAGGTGGGGCGTGAGTGTGCCAAAGCACTCAGTCTGGGCGGAGTGAGACTCTGACTCAAAAAAAAACAAAAACAAAAAAAGAGCTTGAGTGATAGAAAACTATCTCAGCACTTAACTTTCCCAAGCACATCACCCAGTATATTGAGAAAGTAGTATTTAAAATAAAGTACCTTGAAGGACAGAGATCTCTGAGTTGTTTGGAAATTATTCCAGCCTGAAAACATTCTTCTACAAACCGCTCAAGCACAGAATATGAATGTGGAACATCCAAATTTATGTCTGGAATTTCATTGTAAATTCTCTCATAACCCTAAAACAATGAAATTATAAATAAGCTATTAGCCAATATAAAATACATGCCATAAAATAATCTATCACTATGTCATCAACCTATAGTTAAATCCAAATGTTCATATGGCTAAAGTGAAGTCAGATTAGAACCTTGAAAAGCATAGAAAATAGACTTGTAGCCGGGCTCGGTGGCTCAGCCTGTAATCCCGCTTCTTTGGGAGGCTGAGGTGAGTGGATTGCCTGAGCCCGCGGGTTCGAGACCTGCCTAGGCAAGTTGGCGAGACCTCATCTCTACAATAAATCAAAAATTAGCCAGGCATGGTAGCGCATGCCTGTAGTTCCAGCTACTTGGAAGGCTGAGGCGGAAGGATCGCCGGAGCCCAGCAGGTCGAGGCTGCAATGGCCGGGAGCGGCCACTGCACTCCAGTCTGGGCGACAGAGACTCCAACTCAAAAAAAGAAAATAGACCTGTTACACAACATGTTCTTTAAAACTGTTTTCTCAAAAAAGCTGCAGGCAGATATCAGACATTAGGCAAAGTGCTTTCCCATCTACTTGTTTGTAAACATTTAGCACCTTCTTAAAAAAAATACAAGGCAAATAACTTGACAAACATTTCAACAAAACAATT